TTGGACTAGATGACCCACAGAGGTCCCTTCCAACCCCTACCATTCTGTGATTCTGTGATATATTTTAATTATATATGTAAACTGTGAAAGGCCTGGGAGTATGCTGAGAGAGGGAGCAGGTATCACCACCTGCTCGCTCTGTTTTCCAGATAGCTGATACCAGCTTGAGAGATGGGATATGGGATCTTGCCCAGTACTTAAGCTCTTATGAAAACCATATCATTTGATTCTTACAGACTACCACTCAAGAAGCATACAGATACATTCAGAGTATATTTAAGATGCTAAATTGTATCCAACTGATACCAAGACAAATAGTAGAAATGCCAAAAATAACCATCAGTGAGATATATCTCACACATGAAAATATGGGGCAATTTCTAAATCATGTATCATTAGCCAGGAATCCTGAAATCTGAAACTGGATTACTTGCAGCTCCAGCACTCCAAAGGGAACAGTTAAAAGCCAACAGAAAAACTTGTATCTGTTGCCCCCAGTCCAGCTGCAATTACCTTTCTCTTTTATTTAGCCATTACTCTACCACCACCATTACCTGCTATTTGCACAGAGCCATCTTCACCCAGAAGAATGTTGCCAGCCTTCAAATCTCTAGAACATAAAACCAGAGGTTACTTTTATGTATGAAACTACATATGTGCACATTTTATGTAAATAAATAAATATTGCAGACTAAGCAGATTCACAAAATAACATTTTAAAATTTAAAAGACAGAAACTGAAGCATAAAATGTAATGGATTTACAACAAAAAAAAGTGCAGAACTCAAACTCTCACAAACTCTCTCTCTCTTGTATTAAAAGACCCAAATTCAGCTTTGGCATAAAATGACCAGAATTCAGGGATAAATTTTGAGAACAAAAATATTTAGGTCCAAAGTCTGTTTTACCGCCTTTTATAATCTCACAAACTGAATAGCTTTCAGAGCTTTAAAGCAAGAACTAATGCTTTCTCACATCCAACTGCACCACGGAAAAGAAAAGTTGAAAATAAGTTCTCCTCTTTGATCCCTTCAGAGAAGAGACCCATCTTCAAGAAAGGTAAATATACTGTAGATTTCTACTCAATTAAGCTATTAAAGCTCAGGAATAGCAACCATATTCTGCTACAGGGTACATCATGATGAAAAGTTATTTGACACCGAATCTGTCAAAAATTCAGCGTGTGCTTAACAGACAGCTATATCCATTTAACTCCTTATTCACGCTTAATGTTAAGAAGAAACCTTTCCGGCTGTTGTTTTTTATGTTATAGAAATGTGCACCCCATTCTTAATGCACAGGATAAATCTTTCATACAGAATACACCACAAACAGTACGAATTTGAGCAAACCAATCTTTCCAAGATTTACTGAAAATAATTAACACATTGCTACTGAAAGGTAACCTAACCAGTTCCTTTATATATATAAAAGCCTGTATTGAAATGACAGAACAAAATCCCTGAACAATTTTGGAAACACCTCCAACTGGCAAATACCACTTGATACAGCATTCCCTGAACTACCACAGCTTTCACCTGTAACATACATAGGAAAAGGAAAGCACACTGTATCATCTTGAACGGGACTTCTGTGGCACTGCACAGTTTACAATCAGAAGTTATAAAAAAGGAGAAATCTCAGATGTAACAAATAGACTTCTCTATCTTTTTAAGGTCCTTTAAAAATAGAAAAATGGAATTCCCAAATCCGACCTCAAAGGGTCCTGTTATCCTTAAAAGCTAATGAATGTTCCTTCCACAAGAATATCAGCTTAACAGAAGACTATGAATTAAGGTTTGTGGCAGATCTTTGGCATTCCAGACCAGAAGTCAAGATAATTATTCTTTATTTCTCCATTTATCTCAATTTTCTCTCTGCAAAAGGAGGAAATAGTTCTTGATTTACATCAGAGGCAGTTCATTTATAAGATGAGACATAAGTACACATGAAGAACAATTACTGTGCTACATCTGCACTACCTCCATCCTCAGAGTTTCTGTCTGCAGAGAATCTGTTTTTGTTTAAAAGATTCTCTTATAACAGGCTAATGCTCAAAAGAGAGCACCTGTTGTAGGCACCTTCCTTAAAAGGCAAATTCACCTCAGTAAAATTAATCAGAGAGGTCAGACTACAACACTTCCAACATCCAAACAGTGGAAGCCACCTGTGGATTGCTACAGCAGATATATATATAGAGACCAACCTGAGGGATGTGCACAATTTACACCAAGGAAGTCAGTGCAGAGAGAATATATACACCAAGGTGCAGTTTCATAGTACCAATCCCAGCTTCACGTGTGGTCATAAAGAGAGGTCTGTAGAGTTGTAACAGACCCTCCTGATTATCAGGAAAAAATAAATTTCAGGTTTATATAGCAGTGCCCGAGTGCCCAAGATTACCCATTTACTGTGCAGCACAATAACCAAGTCACAGACCATATAATATAAACTAGATTCAGATTAGCTATCTGGAGTACCAGCAGGCACAGGAGTACAGACCACAGTTCTGGCACACTTGGTGCAGCACAGACCTACCCCACCTATCAGAGAGACCAGGCAAGCACTAAGTATTAGTGACAAGCTGCAGTCCAGATTACAGCATCTGCCTGAGCATTATCATTTGATAATTACTGATCGCATTTATAGTATGTGAAAGAGGCAAAACAATTCACTTAGCCAAGCAACTACAGCTGACCAGTACCAACAAACCATACATACAACTTTGAAAATGCTCTTCACTGTGCATATTCTCCTACCTGTGAATTTGCCCATTCCTGTGTAGATAGTCTAAGCCCTCCAAAACTTCTTTAAGAATTGTTGCTATTATGGGTTCTTCAAGGACACCATTTTTGTGCTCTCCTTTGTTCACAATATACTTTATTATATCAAGCATTGAACCTACATTGCAGATCCAAGAAAGAAAAAAGCATATATACAGCATTATCATATCAGATTCTTGAGAAATTTATATTTCCTCATTCTTTCTACACTACTGCCATTTGAAAGACCTCATGTAACTAGCTCTCAGAACAAAGCACATTGCTACCTTGTTCAAATGAGAAACAAAGGACTGTTTTTTGTCAAGAATATTATAACACTCCATGATCTACTAGAAAGAACTGCTAACAGCTTGCTAAGCTACCATTTATTAAAAATTCAGGAGTACCGCACTTTTAAACAGACACGTACAGCAAAAGTTTTCATTTATTATCCAGGTTAGATTCTGGTTCATGTGTTCAAAACGTAAACACGCAGCTACAAGACTGGAAGGAGATATTCTCTGCGAACAACTGTTGACAACATCCCTTGTGACACACAGTTTGCACTGAACTTCGGTTACTATAAATTTCAAGGAATCCAACAGCAACATTTTCTTTTTATCCAAACATTTTTCAACAGCTCACAGTAAATTCCTGTCACAAATCACTGGTTTCTCTCAGGGTCTGTGCTTGCTTTTGACTGAACTGAACAATCCAATCAAATGTGACGTAACAAGTGTTATTTTATGAGCACTTCCCGTCCTTGCTTTCTAGCATGATGGTGCAGTAGCCTGTTGCGATCAAGACTAATATTGAAGAACATCACATAGCAACCAGGACCACCACATCTTATTTTGGAGCCTCACTTTTCTAAGCCACAAGCACATTCAGTTCAGCCCCTTTTTCCTCTCTCAGAACCAAATAAGATTTTTATACCATTCACCATCATCATAAAAACTGTAACGAGTGTTTGTTTAGTTTAAGCAATAAAAAAGGATGCAACACATATAATGCCCATCCTAGGAAGAGTCTTCCTTGAATAACGAACGAGAAACACTCACTATGAAATCAGAAATATATGCATTTTTACAAAAGTAGAGTGGATTCTAGAGGAACTCAAAAAAAGGCCACACTCACAGAAGTGACTTAATTCTTGTCAGTTTTCTCTACATAGTCTTAATAGAGAATTTTAATATATTGATTCAGAATAAAAAGTTACAGTAGTTCGATCAACAGAATTTCTCTCTAATTCTTAGCCTGTACTATTAAAATACACATACAAACTTCTTAAGCTTGCACATTGCTGCTATAACACACCTATGTCTCAAGGTTCATCCTATGTAGTCTCCATCCCCGCTCCTTACTTGGTTTAGGTCAATTAACTCAAAGAATGTACATTACAAAAAAAAACCATACAATTTCCTTGAAGCTAAACAAGTAAAACCAGTAACTTACCCCCACTTAACAGCTTCATAACCAGCCAAAGTTCATCCTTCACCACAAAAGATGTGTAATAGCTCACCACATTGGGGTGATTGCATTGACTCATTGCTTGAATTTCTTTCTGTAAGAAATACAAAGCCCAACGTAACACAGACAGCTATCAGTTCTGCTTAACTCTGAGAAAGTTTAATTTCCAAACTGAAATACTGTAACAGAACTGAAGTATACACAGAATCTGCATTAAGGCACCAAAACATTTCAATTTACCTATAGGCCTACATGCAAGACAAAACATTATTGCGAAGAACACAAGGGAAGATACAGGAGTAACTACATCAATGTGCTTCTGAGAGCAGCAAATAAATTACTGTTAAATCCCCAAATTCAGAGTGAGCAATGAAGAATGAGCAGTTTCCAAGAACTGAAGGCGTAGGTACAGTCTGGACAACAAAACACAATGAAAGATCAAAACCTACTGCCTTTCCTTTCAAAAGGGATATGAATAGAGCAGAATGGGAGCAGGTGGGAAAGGAGGAAGGAAGCTGTTGGACAAAGGACATGTCACTACTGGTTTGGCTACTGCGGGATGGACAGGTGGACACCAGAACCATGCAATCAAACAGAAGTGCAAGAGGAAAAAGCAATATTACAGACCAAAAGTCAGAGCAAACAATTGACTAGAGGAGCACAGTCACCAACAGATGCACAACATGGCACTACCAAGCAATACCATCTATGACACGCCACAGCTGTACACATTAAGAATCACTGCCTTGTATCTGCTGTTTCAAGCAGAGGCCTTTTTCTATTCAGACTTTCAATAATTGTTCTGTAACACCTTTCTGGCAGCTCTGGTTATTCTGCCAATCCTTTACGTAGGAGCGCTTAGGCCTCCTTTGTACCGAAGGGTTTGGCCTCAACCAACTGAAGTTCCCACAACCCTGCTTCTCCCTGTCCACCCACAGCCACACCGCCCTGATCCATCCCCAGTGCCAGAGGACATGCTCCTGGAGGGTGAGCCAGTCAGGGAGCTGATCCAGCTAAAAAACAAACTCTTCCACCTCCCCTCTCTCCCTGAAAAGCAGCTGCCTTCGGTCAGTCCCATGCTACATGCTGACTCACCAGCGCCAGCACAAGGCAGGCACTACAGCAGTCCCACTGACATTGAGTAAAGCTGCCACAGATGCCATTTTCAACTTTCAACCTCAATTCAGCAAGTGTTTGAAAGAGGGGGGGTTTGTTGTTGTTATTTGCAATGCACTCAAGATCACAGCTGCCTTCTAATAAAAAGTTAATTATATGTATTAAAGACTGTGATTTAATCTCTTGATATCTGTTGGTGACCATTAAGTCAGGCTGTAGTTTGACACACACTTCAGCTAATCCTGCTGTCAAAAGTCCTCCGGCCTAGACAACTTCCGAGCCCCAGAACGATGAATGCCTGGATAGTCATACAATGAGCCTGAATAACTGAGCAATCTGCAAAATAGCTGCTTTTTCTTTTTTCCCCAGAGACAGTAAGTAGAAAACTGAAGAAATATATGTGGGGCAGATTTCTCTTTCCCAGCAGACAATTCAGCTTAAACACAAGTCAGATTACTGCCTCAGGTCTTTAATTCAACTATCCATACCAAATCTTTACTGTAACTCTCCCACTCTTTACTGCTATTTAATTTCTTACATTGTTTTATTGTTTTCCTATGCTGGTAATATAATGATGGCTCGAAAAGTCTACCTGCCACTACTGCGCAAAATACACTTCATCTGTTTTACTCACTCAGTAATAGTGCAGAAATGTAACTAATTGGTTGTGGTAAGCTTCACAATCTTTGACTGAAAAGTGCTTTGAATATTTTGTCTGCCTGCATCAACTCATCAGCAAAAATTGAGCTATCACAGTAACCATGGCCAAAGGCACCTTGTGTCTCAGCTTTGGTCATTTTTTCCAAAGAAAGTCTTTGCAAAATAAAAATAAACAAATAGAAAGCACCCTATGAGAGATACGGGATTAAATTTTAGTCAGGAAAGTATTAATTTCAGACTTGCAGTTCCAGAGAGCTACTACCACACACGGGATGGTAAGCCTCCACAAACTTCAGTAATTTGGCTGAGGCCCATGATATGCACGGGTGAGAGAGAAAAGCGTTCACTTCAAACACACTGTCAGAGGGAAAGCTTGCAGCAGGACATCCAGGCGAACACCCCGGAGCCTTCTTCACACTCTTGTCGCTTTAGACATTCGACATTCGACAGCACCAAAGCCACAATGGCGCTCAAAATTTGAAGTCTCTCCCTCACCCGTCTGCTTCTCCCTCCCTTGTGCTAGCACAAGTGTTTGCGCAGTGCATCAGGAAACATGTCCAGCTTAAAAGCTCCCTTCTTTTCCGCCAGGTTACTCCTGATCCAGTTTCACCGAGCAGCTGCACAAAAACGCGTGTCAGCCTAAGGGCAGGTGGGTGACACCAGCTGGGCACGGCTGCTCAAGAGACTCCTCCAGAGACCCAGCATCCAGGGGCTAGCCAGAGCAGAAATGCAGTCAGTCTAGAAAATCTATTCAATCAGAAAAGCCATTCTATACAACATTCTTTGGTTTGTAGTGCTGAGGTTTTTGTCTGTTTCAAAAAACCAGAGGTAAGGGGATGGGGGAGGATACCCAGTCAGGACAATACTAAGGACAGGAACTTTTTCCTTGGCTCATGGGGTTAAGTTACACCTAGCTTACAATAGTGAGAACACAGGACATTGCAGGAAACAGAGCATTGAATTTCAGGAGTTTAGCAGTTTGTGTAACCTTAGTATTATTTAAACTCCCTCCCCCACTGCCTTTCTATTTTAATTGACACTGGCCCAAATCCTAAGTCTGCTTACGTGGGTCAACCAGGCTTGCTGTATTTTCCACTTCTCTGAAGGCCACACGGCTGAGAATTTGTGAAGGGTGCCTTTGCACACCATCCATAAGCACTTTGCAGCAGCATTTTATAAAACAGCATGTTCAGAGAGCAGACAGACTTTTAGAGCATCCCTGTGCCAATGCAAACTGTTTGATCAAAAATAAGTGATTGAAAACTGAGCAGACTCAAAAACAGTGCTAAAAAAAACAAAACCCAAGAGCATTTTAAGTATTATCAACTAAAATAAAAATGTTAGTACAGTTGTAACAAGAGTCTTGAAGGTCAGTGATGCCCTTTTCCAGAATAACAGCGCTTTTTTAAACAAAAGTTTAAAATCTCTATACTAAGTCAGAGTAAGTACACTTCCCCTCACAGACAAAAAAAAGCATTAATTATGTTAATTAACTATATTAAACATGTCCCTTTTGGGTTTTTTTACCCTCCTAACCAGGAACTCAGAAAGCCAGAATTTATGTTCAGCTCAAAACAGATCAACAAATAAAAGAAACACAAAATCTGAACACAGAAAAGCAGAAACTGACTTATGTTAAAAAAATAAAAAAGATGGTATGGACAGCTGTCTTCGTACCAAAAGAAAGCAAGATGGGACCAAAAATTCAAGACCTATCGCCTCATTTGGCAGACAGTGGAGACATGTCAGCAGTAAAGATACTCAAGCACTTGCTAAGGTAACTTTGTACAAGCTGGTAACTGCAGTCATTTCTCTAGACCACCAGCATTTCTCTTGCAGATTGTTCGCAGTTTTGTCTGTTTTCACTTGTCATAACTTTTTAATTCTTAATTCCCATTACTAGCTCAAATTCTAACCAAAAAAGAACAATTTTTGACCATTTTATATTACAATGATTAGTATTTCTGCTTTTACAGAAATGTTCTTTATGGGCTGTAGATGTTAATACATCATGCACAGCATCTCACCTTGGGCTGTTCTCTTTCTAAACACAGTTCAGAATTTTCGAGTTTTTAGTTGACAGAAGTCTCACTACCTCAGAGGTAGCTTCCACTACCACAGTCCTCTTAAAAAACACAACATTGTCCCATATAAGCTGTGACAAACTGAAGGCGAATGCCACCAATCACCAAGGGAAGAGCATTCTGGGTCCTCCACTGTAAACAAGCCATTTTATCTGAAGAAACTGGATGGACCATACCCTCTGTATCAAATTCAAGATATCTTTTGCACTGGCAATTCCCTGCTGAGGAGATCATTTCCTTCAGAGGCAGGAATTTCTGCATTAGAAAAAGCCCACAGTCTCTAGGCAGTAGTATAACCTGTGGAACAGAAGAGAGTGTTCTCACTTTTAGAATGGTTTTGTGTCCTTCAACTCTTCTTATGCTGCCTATATATAAATACGCATTAGTCTTATAAGCACCTAACTAGGAGCATTAGAAAGCAATAGGTTTTGTCTTTTAACAGTTCTTTGCTACTTTGTCTGGATTGCCACAACCAGTACAGAGGAAAAACTCTTGCAGTCCCTTTTACAAAGGGCCTCTTGCAGTTCCCTTCCTCCTCTGACCAGTGACCCAAACAAACAGCATTCCTCAAATGGCTTCTTACGGCCTATCAGACAAACGTGTGTTATTAGCTCTAACAAGAGTTTGCTTGTGTAGATGGCAGTGTAGCCATTCCTACCATTCCCCTCAAAAGTTATCATTAGAAAATCACCTAATACTAGGTTTTGCCATGTTCTGGTGCTTTAGACATTTTAAGACGACCTACTATATTTTACCCTTATATTTTTAAACAGTGTTTAACCAAAGGAATATGTATCTTTCCTCAGTATTAAGACAGACAACCAGACAGTAATCCCTTGAAAATCCAGTCTACAGAAAGCAAGGGGTAAGGTTCTTCCCGCAGTTCTCAACAGCTAGTTACCCCAAGATTCAAATTTGCACTTCTTGATTTTGTGGCATTAGAAAATACACATTAGTAAAATATATTTTTAGGGGAAGGGCACACTTCTCTTGGATTATTTTCAAATCCTTTTGTCACTATTATCCTGCATAAAATTCTACCCTCGCTCTTGGACTAAGCAGAAAACAAAATCAAAACAGAAGACAGCCTCTATGTAATTTGTTCCCCTCTGATTTACTTACAAGTAATTCATCCATACTGGTTTGGCATTTTTCTAAGTTGATCCTCTTTATTGCTACGCGTTCTTGCCTGGGTTTGCATAGCGCTGCCTGGACAACTGCTGTAGCACCGCTACCTGAAAAAGGGCAGAAAAGGAACACAGTCTTAATACAACAGGAGTTTAAACCAGTGACCAACATAAGAACCCCACGCTGACGAACAACGTAAAATCTGCTGTTTATCCTTCTTCAGTGCTTTCACCACACGCACACCTTTCCACTAGCAAGCCAGCCTGCACCCTTCTCAAAATGGAGATGAAAAACCTCAAATTTCCTGTTCCATACTTCACAAAAAATTCCCAAGCTGACAACTGAAAACCATGTGCTCATTTATCAAGTCACAGCCACCACCTCAATACATTTCATTTGGTTTGGTGCCAAGTTTCAGCATTTGTGAAAGGACGGGAACGACTCTCACACGCATTGATACGATGCACAGTCGGATTCTTTATTATCCCGCATGCATGGTCATATACATTTTCCATATCTGCACACGCGATCACGCTTATTCGGATAGGCTACAGACATAAATCACACGCTGTTCACACGCCCCACATTCCCTTATGATTGGTAACTATGCACTAACGCCAACAGCAACAGACCGCCTCCACATCCTTGAACACATCTTGTTTTTGCTAACCTACACCATGTGCACTATCAGAACTTTCTCAATGGCTATTCTTAGCTGTCCTTTCCAGCAGCCTGTTCAGTTATGCTGTTTTGCTTAAGCGGCCTAGTCATGCTAATTCTCAAGCTACATCAACCCCAACAGTTTGGGAACCATTACATTTTTGGTTTTGGACACATCTGTTTAATCAAGAACATGACTTGCACAGTTAACACAATTAAAAACATTACACAGGGGGGTGGGAAGTATATGCTTTATCAAACATTATTTCTTTCCGTTCTTTCAGGTCAGTCCCTGTTTAACCAGGTTTTTGTTCCCACTATGCAATGAACAGAAAAATAGCAGCAAAATTGTACATGCCAAATCTTCTACAGTTTCACCTGTGTTCCTGTTTAGTCATCTTGATTAGGGTAACATCGTACAAAAAGCATGCTGATTCTCAAGAAGAGCACGGGAGGCACAAGCATCACCCCAACAATAAGAAGATGCACATTGCTGCATGGCCCAGCAGTCAGTCATGCTTACCTGACATGCAAATCACATATGGTCATACAGCTACAACGATAACAAAGCCTGGCGGAATTGAACAAATATTGGGGAAAGCATTAATTTTCTTTGGTTTGCTTTATTTGCAAACAGGAGGAGTGAAAGGTCTTGTTGCCTCTTTTATCAAGCACCCACTGGCTTTTCCCCAGTCAGTATTGCCTCACTAAATTAATGAAATGATTGCAAGTAATATTCAGAAGGAGTTTTGCCCGGGTTGCACATCTTGCTGCCAGATCAAATACAGCAGTGTGTACTTCCTCAAAGTAATTACATCGTGCTCATTCATGCAGAAATCTAAAATCCCCCGACGAGTAGTTTCTACCTGTAATTCTATTTTAATATAAATTATGAATTTCTGGTAAGTCACGAATTGAGCAACATGTTATATTGGCCTGCTCATACACTATGTTCTATTTATGCTCAGTAATTGGCATGTCTTAGATGAATACAAATTGTGAACAAAAAGCCTTTTGTTGTCAAGCTCTACAAACATGGATTCAGTTACCAGCCAACTTAAGAACAATTGAGAGCTTTTCCCTCTGCACATCTGAAAACGGCACCGACAATACCTCATGACTGAAAGTTATTGTCCATATTTTAACTACTATTTGCTTAGCTATTTTCATGTATTGTTTGTTCACATGATGTTTTCACTCAAATCACAAAGCTTTTTAACTCGGTGTATGAAATTTCATTACAAAATTCTGAGCTCATCTTAAAAAAAAGAGTCTCAACAGGACTAACTAGTCATGTTTTTGCAGGATGCGGTCACAGACAAATATTGACATGTCCTGTTCTGTCTGCTTGCAGAACAAAGCCTTTAAAAACTCCAATAATATAAGTAATAAAAGAATTCAAGAGAGATTTTTAAAATTAAATACGACATCCCAAGGAAGGAACTACCAAGTCAGCACAATTCAGCTCAGGTAAGACTCATCTACATGACTTTAATGAAGTTCTCATTTGGTAGACATCAAGACACAAATCCTCTTGTTACTTTGGATACACAACTGTAGGTCAAGGCAGGGGGAAGAAACCAAATTTAAGCTATTCAGGATACAGGAACAAACACCAAGATTTTTCTTGATGTATCTTTTTCATCTATGCCAGTAGTTTTATCTACTTGTAGGAAACAACCGGATCTTCACTTTCAAAATAGATTCATATACAAAGGCCACATAAAGAACAAACGGAAAAAGCACGCATAAAAATTATTCAGCCAACACCAGAATGAAATCCTGACTGCTTCCTCAAGTTAAAGTAAAATGACAGTAAGTAACACTTCAAAATATTTTGGAAAAATCAGATTACAAAAAAAAAAAAAAAAGTACTGTCACATCCCTGACCCCATCCCACTATCTCCCTTGCTAAAGTTCTGTGAGACCCCAAACCAAAGACTATGTGCTTACTACTACTTAAAAACTCTTGATTGCAAAATTAGTCTTGAGTTACCCTTAAGCGCAAGTTGAAGATCTGTTCCTCTTCTGCGTACTAAAAGAGGACAAGATGCAAGATTTTAGGACATAAACTAGAGTTTGAAGTTTACTTATATGAAAAGCTTTTCAGTGCATTTTCCTGTGTTTTCTCCTCAGATGACTTGCAGGGGGACATTCTACACCACAAGAATATGATGCACTGACAATGCAAAAAGCTTTCTATGTTTAGCATAAAGCCAATCTACCTTGGTTTCTTCTTTCTCCTGCCTTCTGAATACTCTATGCAATACAGTATTTTGATAGTAAAGGCAATTTTTGCCGCTGGCATTCTCAGTGGGTCCTACATATAAAACCCATTCGAAAAAGCAGTTTCAAGTACCCTTGAAAGGAGCCAGGTACTTAGTGGCTATGTGCCTCCTTCCTCTTAGCACATGTCCCCCTGCCCTCCTCCGGCTCACAAGGTGAACAGCCAGGGATAAAGATGCGGAAAATCTGCAGCTTTCCCATCAGGTCAGAAGACTTCTTTTGTGTCAATAAAGAAATGCCCTTCTCTAGTCTACTAAACAAGTAGAAATGTGAAGTGTTCCAGAGGAGTAGCTCTTATAAACAGGACTACCCAGATAAGCATTTCAGTCGAGAGATAACACTACACGAATAATGCACTATCATACAGTGAAAGAAAACGGTCATGGCCAACCATTCAGCATAACAAACTCGGGTCACAGAAAATGATTGCGTCGAACAGATTACAGCCAAGCATTCCTGGTCAGAAGGCCTGACGTTTTCAGGTAAGCTGAACCTTACAAATCTTCCAAAAACTAACCCTCACAGCAGAGAACATACTAACCACACCACTACTAAAGCACAGACTGGTTTTAGCATCCAGTCTCTACTTAGCAAACCAAGCTAGTATAACGAAGGCTCAGGTTGTATAAACTACAAAGCCTTTACACCCAGCTGTCCCCTGCAGAAGAACAAAACAAAGCATTATCAATTGTCAGGCTCAGAAAAACAGCTTTGTAAGAAAGATGGGGTTTTTCCACTACTGGAAAAGTCATTCTGCTGCTACAGACAAGTTCTCTTTGGCACTTTCAAAAGTTAGCAGTGAAATAACACAATTTCAGTCCACATCAAGTTGTCTCTTGTGAAACTGGAGTGGTAGGCATCAAGTCAGAGTGGTTTATCCTGTCCTCAGGTTTTTTGCTGCCATCCTCCTCTCTAGTGAAAGCGTGCCCTTACAGCCAACCTGTTCCTTCATGCTATGAACCACACACACCCTGCCATCCTGCCCTCAGTGCAGCAGAGCTGTCACCATTGCTTTCAACTATTTGGGTTCATGCAATAGAAACCTTCTCAAGAGCTATTACACATGGCCACACTTCACTACTTCTGAAAGGATATAACCTAAAAGCAGTTTTCTGCATTCCACTTTGTACATGCTTCACAGAAAGCATACGAAAACCCCACAAACACAAATACTCATGAAGGATTTAAGCTTAACTGAGTAAGTTCCTTCAACTTGTTCTAAACCTGACATAAATGCATTTTTTCTCTCTCTTCTTAAAAAACAAAACAAAAAACAGGAATTTACCTCTCACAGAATCTGTCTCCAGCTGGTAAACAGAAGAAGGATCTTTGAGCAAGTGTGATCAATAACTGACACTAACATTTTATATACCCTCCACTAGTCAAGTCTCAAAAAGACAGACAGTGAGGTGAGATGGCTGGACATTATGACCTGCACATCACACAGGCACACATCTTTCTTCATACAAGCATGTGGCACTTCAGTTATTCCCTGTTATGTATACAGGTCTGACACTTCCCACTCATTCACCACTGCGCAGTAAGTCTATTCAAAATAAATCTAGAACTATTCCTTTCAATTTTCTTATCCTCAAAAATGCAAGTCAGTAACCTCATTATCCCATAATGATTTACCAAGTCTTTTTTTAGTAGCTCAGTGCAAGCTTCTTTTAAAGATTTCTGCATTCATTAGGTCCCTTCAGACACTCCACCCAAAGTCAGCTTCTTCAACCCCATCATTCTACCTAATCTCTGAAGAGGAGGATGCAATTTGTTGGTAATAGTAAGTTTTCTTATTGACTAAGTATCTGAAGGGTTAGGCAGCAGTCATAACTGGAAAACACTAAATACCTTACCTCAGAGTCTATCCACACTCTTACATACTGACCTATACCATCTGCATTTTTACACAACTCTTCTGCTCCCCCAACATACAGAAGCTTCTAAATGTAGCTAATCAGTGCACACAAATTTTAAGTCAGGCTCAAATCCAAGACTAAATTGTAACTGTCTGTAAAAGAAGCTAGTAGTAAATAGAAATAAATCTGTGAAAATGGACGAAGCGTCTACGAAAGTATTTTTTTTTATTCTTTTACACAGTCCAGTTCTGAAAAACAGAGTCCCCTAATAGAACTCATACGCAATGTAACCACAGGATTCA